GTAGGGTGTAGTGAGGAAGAGAAAGTGTGAGAAGCATTTGGGAATATCACGGGGATAAGATTCGAGTACGAAGATATTTTCATGGAGTCCTGTACTTGGTATGTCCATTCTTGTTCACACAAATCCGGAATCTCTTTACTTTCAATTATCTTGATTTTGCAGTTCCTAGAAAAAAAAAAAAAATCTTCATTTTCCCATTTTTCCTCAGTTGATGAGATGTCTCTGTCAGATGATTAAATTATTAATACTATTTAGAGTGTGTTTGTATGATGAGATCTCTTCTTATGTGCTATGAATTTTATTTCGTAGGTAAAAAACTTATTACTCACTTATGAATATATAAAAAATGTTGCTTCTATATTTTTGTTATAGTATTGAATATCAAATATGTTCGCGCAATATGTAGTTGCATGAAATTAATTTCAAGACATTACTAAAGAATTTTCAGAGTCCTATATGTTATATTTCAAATCACCTACTTTTGATTTCTTCATATCACTTGTAATGTATCCTTATAATTCTCTAACATTGATTAACAATAAACAAAATTTTGACCAAATAAGATAATTAGTTCCATCAAGTTTTATGGGACTAATTCGCAATGAGGAGTTATCTGAATAAAAAATCATCATATTTTTTGCTCATGTTATTTTAAGGTGCTAAAGATAATAAAAAAAATACTCAATAATAAAAACAGACCTCGTAATTTGCATCAAAATAGTTAAAAAGAATAGAAAGTATTGAAATTAGATATGTGACTTGGCTCGAAAAATGACTCGACTAAAAAAAGGCTCGGCTAAAAAAACAGCTTAGCTCGGCTCGGGGTGAAATCAATTCACCTCAACAGCTCAGACCGATTCAATGCAGTTGGCCAGAAAAACTCCCTGCACATGGCTCTGCATGCGACGAAGGGGAAAACTTGTGCCTGGTAGAAGACCAGTAGGTCGCGACCAGAGGCTTTGTATAATCGAAGTGAGGTAGATCGCGCATCTCTGCGCATGAAGGAAGAAGAAATTTAGGGGTTATCGCGTGGCTCTGCGTGTGGCTGAAGAAGAAGGAAA